AATAATAATAATAATAATAATACCTTGTTGTGCTCTCTGTTCAAATCCTGCCTGTCAGAATGCTTGTGGTTGCTCGTCACTATACTCAGTCCTAACCAGCATTATCTAGTCTGTAGCAAAGTGACCACAATTGTACAGAATATTCTTAATGAGGCTTAAGCTGATTTTCACAGCACACTTGATTTAAATTCTACACTTTTGACTGTGTCCTCACAATTGCTTGCCTTTTAATTGCTTTACTAAATTGTTTGGATGATGTAAACAATGTGACTCAGTGTTTCCCATTTTGTGTTTATAGTTTATGTTTTTACTACCTGCATGCAAAACCCTCTATTTGTCTACATAAAACATCATCTGCCAGGTGTTTTTTGCAATCTAGATTTTTTTACTAAATCTTTTTTAAATTAATTTTCTGCTAATTAAACCTCCTTAACCTGAGCATTCATCCCCTTGTCTCCCCTTCAATAAATTATTAAATTATTGTCATCCCTTTAATAATTTAATAAATTTTCTATTAAACAGTGCTCAAATGGAATGCACACATTTCCACGAATAAAATACTTTCCCCACAGTAAAATGCACTTCACCTGTGTTGATTGTTTTCTCTTGAAGTATAAAATACACTTTTTTTATTAAATTGTATTATTTAATAATCATTTTATTATTGTTGTGCTAAATATCAAGCACACCAAAGACAAATGTCTCAGTAAAACTGAAACTGAACTAAAAGTTTGACATTTTGTTCTTTGTGGCCAACTCTCAATTTTGTTAAAATCTGGCTGGAAAAATGAGAATGAATACGATACAAGAGTTGAAAGGAAATGATTAGTGTTTTTACAATACCAAAAGAGAAGCTTAATTGGCTCCCCCTAGCGGAGAAAAAAAAAAAACAAAACCGGTGCAACAAAACTAGCGAAATCAATTCTAAAGAACTAGTACAGCATTAAATGTTCAATATATGTGATCAAAGAGCAATCATCAAGATAATAAAGTTAATGGCGTTAATTGAATTGTTTTTCGTAAAAACAATACGTTTAATTTATGTATATTCGTATGCGTAAAACTAAAATTGCGTATCCAGACAGTTTTAAACCATTGTGCACAATTGTGTAGTTTGGGTAATTGTGTGATCTTCCACTGCAGTACACTGTGGTAGGGCCACAGGGAGTGTCTATACGTTATGGCCTAAGAAAAATGCACAAAAATTACACAAACGCTTATCTGTGTTCCAGAGTACAGTGTATTTATTTTTTTAAAGTTTTACAGACTAAATCTAAACATTTTAATCTAAATTCGTACAGGGCACCGACTGTAAACACGTGCTCAGGTCGATGTTGATATATCCGACGCCTTGTCTACTTCAGTAATTTTTTTGTTGTTGTTCCCGTTTTCCTTTAAAATATACTCTGATCGGATCGATTGGCTGCAAACTCCCAGGGGGGGGCAGCTAATATAGTGGATCGACACCGTCTACAATTCTGAAGCCTTTTTTTAAAAAAAAAAACAACAGCCAACAATTAATATCAACTTCATCGTCACCACACGCGTCCAGAGAGCAATCTTTTGCAATTCCTCATCTCCCAACACCGCTGGTGTAAGCGAGCCGAGCGATCAATTACACAATTCCAGCCTTACAAAACACTCCCCGAGAACAGTCTGTCTCTTTTATTTTATTTTAATTTTTAACCCAAAACATTTTAATACACGTTTCGCTCTCGGTGTGAACAGCGGGATCGAATTAGCGATCGCCAAATTCTGGATAAATCGCCCCCCCCAAAAAAGTTTGGCTACGCATGCTCGCTCGTATGAAAACGCCAGACCTGCAAAACTGCAATTTCATATTCCGTCAAACGTGAACTTCATGTTTTGCAGTTTTCGGCTTGGGGGGGGGGAGTGGAGTCGGGACGGGGGAGTGGGTGGGTGGTGTTGGTGGCTGAAATTATAGCTGCATTTCTAACTGCGGAGTGAAAAAAAAAAAACTTTTAATACATATTTATGCGCCCCGGCATTTCCACGAAGTTGTACTTGAGCGTAGTTGAGTTTTGGCCACACCTAGATCCTGTCCTATTTTAACAAAAAGAGAAGCCTTTTTCAGTACCATTTGTTTGTGCGTCCCGGTGAGGACCCGGCTGTGTAACTCGATAGGAGCCAGCGGAGGGGGGGGACTATGAGGGAATGCGGAGGAGCAATGGAGCACAATACGATCCAGGTAAAGTCAAATCCCCCGGTTTATAGCGCTGAGAAAATAAATCAGGGGCGCTTCTGGAAACAAAGACCCGGGTTCGGATTCTGGAATTCGAGCCCGTTCGGGTCCGGGACCCGGCTCGTTGTCGGTCGCGGCCGGCGTCTCCCGGTCTCTAGGAACAAAAACCAAAGTTTGAAGGATTGGATTCGCCTGTTTCGAGATTGATTGTTCGGGGGGCACTTCTGAAATCTTTAAACTTCGCTTTGAATGCTGAGTGGCAACTTTGTGTGTGTGTGTGTTTTTTTCTCTCTCCCCCTCCTGCCCTGTGCTGTTTCTTTTTATATAAAAATGGGGGGCTTTTTTTTTTCTCTCGCAAGCCGCTGACATAAGCGAGTAATAATTTTGTAACGCGATGAAACGCGGCGGTGTTTTTTTTTTAATTACAATATCAAAAATGTCGATATTTGTTCTGTCAATGATTAATAATCCCTTTTGTGTGTGCCGTGTCGAGTTTGCTCCTCGTTTTCCCAACCCCCCACACTAAGACATGAAAGAAGTTTTCTTTGAAATTATTTTTAAAAAAGCTTTTTTTTTGTGTGTGTGTGTGTGTTAAGCTCTATTTTCTCGGGCATCTGTAAATAATCAGAGAAACCCCGATGTAAACCAGATTGTTTTGTTTCGGACCGAGTTCGGTTTTAGTTTTAATTTCGGGTGTTTTTTTGACCGATCCTTTATAGATAAACCGGAGCGTGAACGTTGGAATTATCGATATCAATTTTACTTAAAAATTAAAAACCCTGCTGGCATAACTAGGTGGAGCATTTGATTTATTACATAAATGGCCGGCTTTTTTCTCTCGAGTTTTTAATTTACTCTCAAACTGTACTTCCCTTGTACAGTTGAAGGAATTTGAAGGAATGCTGGTGTTGAGGAATAAATTACTGTACTTTGTACTTGCATTTTTTTTAGATTACCGGATTAGCACTTCTCCTTAAACAATTCAGTTCGGTTTTTTTTTGTAGCGAATTAATGTATTTTCAGCGTTTTTCCCCCACTTGGAGAACACGTAATTTGGCTATGAAAAAAACGTCATTGTATCGTTTTTAATGTGAAAACGACTAACAAAGAATATGGTCGACCAAGGGACGGAAGCATTTGAAAAATTAAACAATTAATAATACCGTAGAGATATTATGTATGCTAGTGGAAAGTTTTTCGGATATTTATTTAATGATACACTTTGAAGGATGATGGGAATTCCCAAGGTCACTATAGGCGCTTGAAGTATGAATTTATTCCATATCCTTGACTTCCTCTCAGCTAATTTTTGGAGCCATTACACATCAGGCGCTGACGAGTCCAGGTGTAGCTGTTTTGTTTAAAACCCAGATATTCAAACAGTTACATAAACGGAAGTGTATTTTCGCAGTTTCGTGGGAGAACTGAATATCACGCCGTATGTGCGAGTGAAATATGAATAGAGACACACATCTGAGGGGGAAAAAAATACGGTTTCGTATTTTGGCCCTCGGACAGAAATGAAAGTAAGAAATATATAGATATACCGGCTATAAAAATGTGAAATGGTCACGTGGAATCATTTGTTTCGCGTCGTTCTGTCTGATCAATATGTCTCTTTATTTATTTATTGTTTGCATTGGAAAACGGGACTTGAATGTTAAAAGGTTCCGTAGCTGTAAAGTGAGTGTTATTTTCTAATTGCCGTTTTGACAATACAGTAATATGGCAAATGGCACATTTTGGTAATACGCTTTTATCCAGAATGTCTTCTGTTCGTCCTCTCTTATCCACACGGGGTATATTAGAGGAGCAGTGTGTCTTGCTCAAGGCACAACAGCAGTGTCTCACCTGGGATTTAAACCTGTAACCTCCCTGTTACAGTTTTGAGCCCAGACCCCTGCCCACTGGCCACACTGCCTCCCCTGTATATACCTCAGAAGGATGGAGTCACTGTGTGCTGTTTGTTTCAACTCTATAGCTGTATTCCTCAGCTCCACTGTACATGAACTGCGTTACAGGAGTACTGGTCTTGAACCAGACTGTGAAATATAATACTGTATGTAATTATTACCTTTTGACGTGGAACGCCTGTGGTAGGCAGGCGATATGTGATGGTGAAAAATTCACTTTTACGCCTGTGTAAATACTACACCCCAGGACTCCGGCCTTAATCCTGGGGAGCCCCAGTTCAGTGCATTTCGTAGATCACCCTAGATTGTGGTTTGCTAATGGGGTTGGGGGAAAAGTGCATGTTGTTAATCAATTGATTCACTAAATTAGTTGCTGGTTTCGAGCAGATCTGTGTCTCCGCGAGAAGCTGATAGTGATGGGAGTTTGAGCTCTGTTGCACTCAGTGCAGAAGAAGAGCGATAAAGTTCAGTCTTGACTCTAATTGAGGAGTAGCATATATTGGAAAACAGAATCAGGAAACATTTGTAGGCAACTGTGAGATTTCATCTGTGTTTTGAAAGAGACAGGGGTTGAATGTTTCTCCTGGTTCTGCTGGTCCCAGTGTCTTGGGTGAGTTCTGGTAGTTAACCCTTAAGTGACGTTAAAATCTGAAGGACTGAAATGTTTTGGGCTTTTAAAGAGTGCAGAGTTTTATTCTTGCAGTTAAGTGCGTTTCAAAGCTGTAACGTTTGTTTGGCTGCTGAAAAGGGATGCTGCCAATTAGGCGAGCTGTTGATGGATTCAAGGGTTTCAGCTAAGGGTCACAGACCCAGCCAATCTTATGCTCCTGTGGAGATAGAGGGGAGCGAGTGTGGGGTGTACTTGGTAAATACAAATGGCAGTGTGTTGGATGTGGGACTCAGGAGTTCACAGGCACGCGGAGCTGAAACTGGCCTAACGATGAGTTTATACACGGTTTCAGACAAATCAGTATAACACTCTCTATTACCAAACATGCTGGAGACCCCCAGTTCAGCACATTTCGCAGGTCACCCTAAATCACAAGTGTCTAATGCTTGGGGGTACTTGTATGTCATTAATCAATTAAGCAATTAGCATGTTTAGTTAAAGCCAGCCAGAGTCGCTTTAGTTTGAAAGGCGTTGGGATTTATATTCTAGATGTTTTTATTGATTTAATCTATCAAAAATTACTTTTTGATTGACAAGTTGTACCACGTGTTTAGAAAGGGGCGATTTAATGGGTACCCCTCGAACTTTCTGGAACTCCTATACTGTTATAGGCAACACCTGCCTTGGGGAGACAGAGGGGCTCTGTGAATATTGCACCAAAGACTTTTTGTTTGTAATTTTATGTAGTCTAACGTGTCTGTACTGTATTTAGAGCATCTTCATCTCTGCTGTAATTTGAAATCGAAAATCAAGTTTAAATTTCTACTATCTCCTTCTTTCTTTTAACTTAAAAGCTCTTGAACTGCTGAAAAATGTGGTACAAATCTTACTGGCAGTATACGGACGAATTAAGAATAGACCCTTTGCTGCCCCTTACTTTCAAACAATTATTATAGAAAGCAAATGCTAGAAGCAATGATGGCAAAGTGTACAGCCTGTATTAATAAATGCAGACTTACATCTTGCAAATACAAATGTCAGGAGTCTGTGTGGTCTGTGTTGACCAGTTCAATTCTCAGTTCATTGTGTGGTATTAAATCACATTTATTTTTTCACATGTTGTGTGTGACTGTATTTGCTCTTAATCAAACACATGTTAGTCTCTGCTGTGGTCTAGTGTTCTACCCTTCTCACATCTGTCGGTGATGTGATGTTCAAGGAAGACCTGCCTGGGACAAGAGCAGAACTTCTTTGATAACATCAGAAAGAGCCAATGCTTCAATTAAAAAGGAATGCAGGTTAAAAGGTGAAGATATTCACGGACTCCATCAGCTGCTTTTCTGTTTCGGCAAGGGAAACAGTACCTCCTGTTACTGCAGCAGCAGTAGAGCTCATGGAAGTCCTCCATTGCTGCGTGTTACTCAGCAGGTATTTAGGCTCGTGACTTTGTGATCAAAACTTTTAAAAAGAACTGGGAAGAACTTCTAAAGGAAGCTGAGAACTCTCTCAGCAACTGTTCATGAACAAATGAAAAATTATATGCCCTCCTAGTATGATATTTGACTTCTGTTGGCAGTCTTGCCTGCTCTGAAAGAGTCTTGTGCAAGTGAACTGCTACCTTATTCCAGGGAATCGCTGGCCATTCAGTTGAAACCTGTCTCTCTCTCTGGCCCCCAGGAGACTGAGGCAGTTGTTGGTGACTTCGGGGGAATTGATTTCGCATGTCATTCTGAAACACAAAATGAGCCAGGTTCATCACAGGTGCTGTGCCAAGGCTCCGTCTGTGGAACCTGTTGTGTGGATTCGACTGGGTTGCTTAGATTTTTGCCATTTGAAAAGGTGTATCACAGAATATTAGGATTGTTATCTGTGCGTAAATAGCTGTACTTTACATCCTAAATCGTCCTTCTGACTAAAAGTGTTCTTTAATGTTTTAAATGCTTGCTTCCACAAGATCCCACAGCGCTGTGTTGTCTGTGTGAGCACAGCCCAGCATTAAGTAACCCATCCAATACCGACACCTCTTTCGTATCGGAAGATTTGAGACCATTCTGGGTGAAAACGCTCGCCTGACAATTTCCGAAACTCCTGGGTCAAACCCGCTGCTTCTACTAGCTCTTGAGAGGCTGCTGCTGCTGCCTTTCAGAAAACTGGGAACACAGTCTTTCTGGAGCTTTGCAAATCCCCTTGTTGTTATTATTTGTGAGTTTTGTTCCCCTTAATTAGAACAGTATTAGAAAACATCATTCTAATGTGCAGATCATTGTAGTTTACAAACTGAAAAACATTTAATGATTAAGCTTCCCCCCAAAATCCAAATCACCCAGGAAAGAGGGGCAGTCCACATTTCTAGGAAATATGAGAAAAGGGACAGTTTAATAGGTGTTTCTCAGAAGTACTTAACATTATATGGTGCAGAATTCAACTGGCATGCATCTTTTAAAAATGTGTATGACCAGGATTGAGTGAAGGTTTATTCCCTGCTGGAGAGAGAAGAAAAGAAACGTGACATTTTGGCTGTGGAGCCTTCTTCTTCCCACCCAGAGAAGGCTCCACAGCTGAGACGTTGTTTCTTTTCTTCTCTCTCCAGCAGGGAATAAACCTTTACTCGCTCCTTTGCAGCCTGCGCCTGCTGACGCAGCTCCCTGCTGGAACTCCATCTCTATGACCGGCTGCTTTGGAAGAAAAGGGAATAGGTCTGGGCCAGTCTGCACTGGTTAACCCCTGGGGGCGGAGTGGTGGTGGCTCTGTGGCTCAGGATCTGTGCCCGTGGTTGCCGGTTCAAATCCCGCGGCCCGCAGAGGAATCCTACTCCGTGGGGCCCCCGAGCAAGGCCCTCAACCCCAGCCGCTCCAGGGGCGCCGTATGAACGGCCGACCCTGCGCTCTGACCCCCAGCTTCTCTCTCTCTCTCCCCGCCTGTGTTCCTGTGTGTCTCATGGAGAGCAGGTTGGGGTATGCGAAAAGACAAATTCCTAATGCGAGAAATTGTGTACGGCCAAGAAAGTGATGTCTCTCTTAACCCAGATGAGGCGCTCCGGCCTCTTGTGGCTGCCTGTGTCAGAGGTGTGACCAGGCCGCCTCTCCTCCCTTCTTCTCCGCAGTGGTTGGGGGCTCCCTGCTGCCTTCGTGGCTCCTATGCTTTCTACAAGTCCTTCCGCTGCTGCGGCGAGGCGGGGCGCCGGCCGGGCGTGTGGCGCCTGGGGGAGTTCTACTTCGTGCGCTGCGGCCCGCTGGAGCCCGTCTGCATCGCCGAGGTCACCCTGCTCTGGGAGGACCAGTCGCAGCGCCACCTGCTGGCCAGCTCGCGCCTCTACTTCCTCCCCGAGGACACGCCGAAGGGCCGGACGGGAGAGCACGGAGAGGTGAGGGGGAGCGCGGGAGGGCACGCTCTGCAGGTCAGCTGTGACGAGGCATTCATCACTAAATAACCATCATCATAATAATAATTACGCTTATACAGCGCTGTTCTGCACACTCCACTCAAAGCGCTTTACAGGTAAAGGGGACTCCCCTCCACCCCCACCTGGTTGATGCGATGGCAGCCGGAATGCGCCACACGGCGGGGGGGAGCAGAGTGATGAAGCCAGTTCAGAGAGGGGGATTATTGGGAGGCCAGGGGGAAATTTGGCCTGGACAGCGGGGTAACAGCCTTACTCTTTTCGAGAAACACCCTGGGATTCTCACCATGGGAAGGACGGTGCCTTTTTTTTTTTTTTTTTACAGTCTAGTGTCCCCGTCACTATAATGGGGCATTAGGCCCCACACAGACCGCAGGGTGAGCGCCCCCTGCTGGATGACTAAAGGATGGGATTGTTCTGTTTCGAGATCTCTGGAACGGGTTTTGCACGACAGGATGGAGGCATTTATTTTTACATGTATAATCCCATACCAGCTTGAAGACCGTATCTCGAATACTGTGGGGAGCTGAGAAAAGGAGCTGCTTCACTTTGCAAGGGAGCAAGTGAGACCTTTAAGGGGACTTAAAGAGGCTTAAGGCTGTTTCATGTTGGTCGGAATCATAAACGCTGTGGCCCCTTTCGCTTGTTCAGTTCCCAGAATCTCATCGGTGCGTCTTAAAAGATCACGTACGTGCAGCACCGACGTTGTAGCCAGGATGCTCTGTGTCGCGAAGCGTCTGGGGTTTCCTGTCCTGAATTGCTCCCAAACCCCATTTCTGCATGCTGCAGCGTTTCAGTGTAATTCCCGATCTCGAAGAGGCCATCTGGTCCACATACAGAGGGATAGAAACAGCCCCTCCCTGCCCTGATAAATGACCTGCTCCCCTTCGCAAACCCGCCCGAAAATAACCGTCCTGTGTGACTCTACTTTTTCACACATAGGCAGCCCTCGTCCTGGAGAGGGACCTATACAGAGAGATCAGGCTGATCTCCTTAAGCCAATGAGCACCATGTAAGTGAACCCCATTGAAATGAGGGTCCCGGGGGACTCAAACTTTAGGTCCTTGGGTTAAGACCGTTTTGTCGGTCCCAAACCACGTTTTTGTTTTGTGTGCGTTTTGATCGTTTGACCACGAATCCTCAACATTTGCATTGACACCCGCAGCAGCGTGGAATGCTCTCCGTGCGTGGGGCTGCTGGGAATGGGGTGCGAAAGCTGACAGATGGCGGGGTGCAGGCTGCAAAGCGAGCTCACACGGGTGTAAAAAAGTCTGGAAGTTGATCTAGGGGTAAATGCACCACCCTCTCTCTGGATGAACGCTGGTGCTGAGTAAGTGCCCGATGTGTAGCTTTTGCTGCTGCTGTTTCCTTGCCTGCCGTGATGCGTCTGCGTCTGCGTCTGTACTGTGGACTGCTGGTCACACCTAAGCCAGGTGTCAGGCCCACCCTACAGGCTCATTATCCTCTTATTAACTCCATCCATTCGTTATCCAGAGGCCTCTCATTAGGCGAGGGTCAGATGCCTGGCGTGTGTGTGTTCTGGATAGACAGGGTGGACCTTATTTATCGTTGAGTTTCAAATCGTTTCCAAGGGAATGGTCACCTGCAAGGAGTAAAAATGTTATTGGTGTTTAAAGGCCAAATTCCACAGGTATTTCTGTGTCTCACGTTTTACTTTTGCAGTGTACATAGTCTCCAAGACAGGGTTTTGAGGGCACAGAGGGTGACCCTGCAGTTATGTGGTCTCAGTTGTGGTTCTGCAAAATTGAGGAGCTGGAGTGTTGTGCACTAGCCTGAGTATTTTTAACTGAGACAGGAAGTAAAATATGCAGGATCCAGCTATCAATTTCTATGTTCTCTTTCATCCTTATGTGCATCTCCATCTAGTCAGGTTTCTTTTTTCTGTATGATGGAGGAAAGCCCTACAAATACGCCAGCATTCATGCTTTCTTGGGAAACTGCAACGCCTGTAATCAAATCCAGTCTTTGTTTGCTGAAAGATAGTTGAGTCATCAGACTTGTTTTCAGCCCCATCTAATCGCAGGAGTGACGAAACACAAGGGCTGATTGGCAGTAATGATTAATTAAAGAAGACAATCAGTTTTCAGGCCAGGTGATTACGTTAGGGTAGAAGATGAAGTCGTCAGAAAGAGAAGAATCCTGAAGATCGTCAGCGCGTCTTGGGCACGCCGACTTCAGCAGGATTCATTGAACGACATGTTTGTGTCATTGAATAGATCGCTCGTTAGAGCGCTGAGGTTGTGTGATAATCCAGCCTGTGGGGTGTCAACAGGCTCTTTCTGGGTTTGCGACGAAGAAGCTGGAAGGCATAGTTAAAAATGAGCGCAGGAATCTGTGATGGTGGAGAGAATGTTACGTACACACTTGAATTTCTATTTCTGTAATTTCATTTCTCTGCCAGCATCTGCTCTTTTAAAGATGAAGTCGTAGGCTTTTCAGGAATTTGAGCATTGCACTGTCCCAGTAGTAATCTGAGCTATATGAGAGACCGTGTAATTTCCCTTCCTAACAGTGATCTTTGTTTTTAGTTTGCTGAATTAACCTTCTGCGTGTGCGTGTGGGGGGGTGCTTCTTGCTCCTGTGATGTGCACTTTGACCCCCGAGTCTTCTTGTCCAGTGCACTGATGTCATAGGGAACAGAAAGCTGGTGCTGATCATGTTTTGTTTTTCTGGAAGGGTGAGATGTCCCATGGAAGGTACACCCTATACAGTGTATCCTGTAAGGAGCATGCAGTGCACGAGACTTCCATTGAGCAAAATAAAAAGCAACGTTTTAATTTTCAGGGAAATCAATGTAAATAAATATGGATGAATTACTTGGAAAAGCAAAAAGCACAGCAAGGCACATTTTTTTTTCTCCTTTGAGAATATGAGAATAGAAAAATAAAACCCTCTGAAAATGAGCTCAAGTCTGGTTAGTGTGATGCATAGTCTTTGCAGAAAAGTCCGTCTTTTTTTATGAGCAATCTGCCAGACACAATAGGATCAGGTAAGAGATACTTGTCTTATCTGTCTGACTCGCAAGGAATGGAATTTGAAAACCCTTTTGGAAATGGCAAACAGGCTCCCCTTCATCTCGTCTTTGTGAGAGATGTAACTGTGCTCATTTCTTATAGCCTGCGGGCAAGGTGTTTCATTATCGCCATTAACAGCCTCTGAATGGCAGTCGGTCACGCATCGGGATCTTCTTGTGCCTCACAGAGCTGTAAATGTGTTTGTGTTCCGAAGAGGGAACTGGAGTTATGATTAAACTGCTAAGATCTGGTCCTTGTAGTCTTATTTTTCTATATGCAGATGCATCCACACCCTCTTGTTTCAAATGTGTAATGGACAGATCAGCTCAAAGAAGTCCTTTTTCAAATAAAAAACATCAGTTTTATACAGTGCCATACAACTCTTGGATAAGTAAGGTCTTAAAGGAAGAGTGGATTGTATGATTGATAGTAGATTTGCCCAAGACAAAAATTGATCACACAGAGGTATGTGAACAGATTATTCAGTCCTGGGTTCACCAGGAAGATTTGTAAATAACTGAGGAGGATTTATGCATGTGTTAAATTTCTGGTTATTCCAGTTATTTAGTGAAAAGTTCATTCATTTGGTTAAGATGGATACATAATGCTGGAATTCAGATGTATGCGAAACATTTCTGTGGCTTCAGCCAGCTTTGCTGGTGTTGACTTGAAAAAAGCAATTAAGCTGTCATTTCTGATGACTTAGTAGCAGTTGTAGTAGGGCTAATGTATCCTGTGATTAAGCTGTCAAAATAATGGCTAAATAATGTTCAGACGGACTTTGTTCTGAGCTGTGCAGCTCGTCAACATTTTCACAAGTGAAAAGGTCGCCCTGGTACGAGGAAGGTGCAACAGACCAGTGAGCTCTGTGGTCTCCAGCGCGTGTGTCTGTGTGCATGCGTGTGTCTGCGCGTGTGTGTCTGTCGCGGCGGATTCCCATTGCGTGTTGTCTGATGCCAGGATGAGGTTCTGGCCGTGTCGAGGAAGATCGTGATCCGGGTGGAGGACCTGGTGAAGTGGACCTGCCCAGAGCCCGTCGGCTGGGGGAGGACCGGAGAGAAGGACAGGGAGCCCAGTGGGGTGCAGACGGAGGGGACCCCCCGGCTGCTGGGGGCTGGGGACTCGTCTGAGGAGCGATCTCAAGGTACGTCTGCCCTGAAGGAACCCGCCCGCCATCTAAAAATGTATTTCACACGTATTTAGCTCAGCTTTCTCATTATCATTGAACCGACGTCTACACCTGGGAATAAGTAGGCAGCGATTATCCGGTTTGCTCAGCTCAGGTAGGGAGGTGAGATCTGACTCGAAATGCACAAAAACCAGACGTGATTTTCTTGGAGGGCGAACGAGGAGCTCAAGGTGGTGGTGCACCCTGGGGACAGATGGGCTGTGCGTCTGCGTCACGACGCATCGCAACCGAGAGGACGTTCGGCCCAGCTGGTCCGTTAGCTGGTTGGTAGCTGTTGATTCAAGGGATCTCTGCATATCGTTTCTTGATCGAAAGTAACGAGGTGGCTGGGCAGCGTGTTCCTCGTTCCCTGTAATGCTTTGCACCCTGGCTGCTCGGGTCAGTTAGCTGCTAACCGCCAAGCGAGCCGCCTGTGTCCAGCCTGACGCTCTGCGTTCCCCGGCGGGTGCCGACCGTGCCGTGACCTCTGTGTCTTGCAGGCGGGGGGGCAGAGGAGTGCCTGCGGGTGAAGGTGCTGAGCTACCCCCAGTACTGCCGATTCCGCTCGCTGCAGAAGCGCATGCAGGACCGGGCCCGCGGCCCCGGCCTGCGGGACCCCCACCTGCTGGCCCTGGGGGGGGTCCAGGTGTCCAGCCGCAACACCAGGATCCTGTACTGCCGGGACACCTTCAACCACCCCACCCTGGACAGCAACGCCAGCGTCTGGACGGAGTTCGGTACGTCTGCGAGCGCGCCCCGTCTGCTTCAGCGTGAGCCGGGCCAGTACCTGGAGGGGAGACTCCTGGGAGAGCTGAGGCTGCTGCTGGGAGAGGTGTTAGTGGGACCAGCAGGGGGCGCTCACCCTGCGGTCTGTGTGGGTCCTAATGCCCCGGTACAGTGACGGTTAGACTATACTGTAAACTGGTGCCGTTCTTCAGAGGAGACATAAAACCGAGGTCCTGACTCTCTGTGGTCATTAAAAATCGGCATGTTTCTCGAAAAATTTCCCTTTGGCCTTTGCCAACCATGATTTGTAGGTCCAAAAACTCAAAACTCTTTTTTTTTTGACACAGCGACGGGTGTGTTACGTTACTGTAGAAATCTGACTGGATCGAGGGAATCCAGTTCAAAGCTCGCACCACTAAACAAATAAAAAATGTAAATACAAATTTAGAAGGATTACAACATCCTTTTTAGTTACCTTATTCAGTTACAAAAAAACTAATTCATAGTTTTGTGTAGCTATGAATTAGTGCCAAGTGAGGTTTGTCATGATTGTCAACCATTTTCTTTTGCTGAAAAAGCATCAGAAGCCTGCAGATGAGGCCTCTGGTCCTTTTTCTCTTGTTTGTAATGGGGCCAATTTTGTCCCAGGATGCAACTCTCTCAGCCTGAAGGGTCGCACTCGGAAGAGGAAAGGGAGGGATGGGAAGGGGGTGGAGTCTCGGCATCACAGCCAATCAGAAGCTTGGATCGAGCGAATGAAGGTAGGCCAGCATGCTGCCTCACAACGATGGGGACCTGGGGTGCTATTTGCATAGAGTTTGCATTTGTGTGGATTTCCTCTGGATGCTCTGGTGTCCTCCCACAGTCCAAGAACATACTGGAAGGGCCCAGGCATGAGTGTGGGCGTGTTTGTGTGTGTGTGTTCCCTGCGAGGGACTGGCATCCTGGCCAGGCTGTACCGCTGCCTGCTGGGAGGTGCTCTAATAACCCCTGGAAGAAGCATTTAGAAAAAAAGGATGGATGGATGGACGTGTTGGGGCTGCACTAAAGAGGACCAGACGCGTGAGGGGCATGCGGCTCACTCTCTCCCCTGGTCTGTGGCAGGAGAACGTGATGGGCAGCGTGGAGGCGCAGTGCGAGAGCACCTGGCTGCCCCAGGCGGAGGAGCAGCACTTCCTCGACCAGCTCTATCTCTTCATGGAAAGCAGGGGCTCCCCCATCTGCAAGGTGCCCAACCTGGGCTTCAAAAAGAGTGAGTACGCAGCCCGGGCCCCGCCCCAGGGCCACTTCCTGCTTCCTGTCCCCGGCCCTGGTCACTTCCTGCCTTGTGGAGCTCTCAAAGAGACTTCGGTCTTCTCTTGCTCATCTGGTGGGTACCAGATGAAAGTAATCTGCCTACAGTCCAAAAGACTGACGCATCACCCTGCTGTACCAGAACTATTCCCAGATGTTGGAAAAATCCTATTGTAAACCCACAGTCCCTCTAGTACGGTTCAGTCCCACAAACCACCAACCTGAGGGCAGTCCTAGAAAAATGGGACAGTTACAGATATTTCAGAATTTAGTACCAGCTGTTGTTGTTGTTGTTGTTGTTGTTACTTCTGGGGGCCCGATGCACTGGATTTTGGCCTATACAGGCTGGATCTACTTTTATTACAAAATGTTGTTTTCAGAATTCAGACACCTTAGCGTAATTGTATGCCTTCTCAATGTGTGGAATAGAACTGGAACAGGAGAAAATATGGCTGGCTTCACAAGTTCAAAATGCTTTTGTTTTGAAGACGAGCAGCTGTAGTTTTGCTCAGCGACGACCTAATACGGTTCCTGTGGTCAGACCTGTACTGCTTTTCTCCGCAAACGTCTTTCTTTAACGTGCAAGATCACCGTGAGCTGTGGTTTACAAAGTGCTTTGCCATCCTCTGTATTCCCTAACCACACAAGAGATAAACAGAGCTGTGTGTTTTGATTATCCTGTTAGTGAGTATAAACTGTGCAGAAGACAGATGGACAACATCAGCGAAGTCAAGAAACTAAATTGTAATATAAAATAATTTGGATAGGACTGTCTGGTTATCTGTAGACGTTTCCTGTCCTCATTTAATTTGTTTAGAAAATCTCAGATTGAGGGAACAAAGCCAGTGATTTAAATGTTTTCCTAAAAGACGAAAGCCTCGAAGTGTTGATGTACAAGCCCAGTGGGTGATGTTTGTTTAATGTGCCAGCACACTGCAGTAAATGTGTTTCACATCGGGTCTCAGCCCCTTCGCTCACGACTCTGACTCATTTCGTGTGCGTTTTCTTTTTCCAGTCGACCTCTTCCTTTTGTTCACGGTTGTCAAGAAGATGGGAGGATACGAGACGGTAAGCAATAGTTTGGGCGCGGGTTCGTTTGCGTGTGCGGTTCAGCGAGAGCGCGGGGGCCTGAGGACGCCTTGACGGCGGTCAGCTGCGCTGCCGGAGAGCTTTCTTCTGCCCCTTCGGGATTGCACGACGGATTCCCGGACCACTGTGCCTCTAGCCGTTATCGTTCAAGTTACTTCAGCCGATCAACGCTAAGGTCTAAATAAATATCGAATGATGCAATAATGCTATGAATAATTCTATATGCATCATCATTCTGATGGATCATGTTGATGTGAAACAATGAATGAGTCCACGAGTAAACGGACTGCGTGCTCGAGTGGTGGCTGTGACTGAGCCCGGGAGAGGCAGGGCGTCTCGGGAGCCACGGCGGCGATGCGCGCTGGGGGTGGCCTGTGACCGTGTGCGGGGACCGTTGCAGGTGACGGCGCAGCGCCTCTGGAAACAGGTGTACAACGAGCTGGGGGGCAGCCCGGGCAGCACCAGCGCGGCCACCTGCACGCGGAGGCACTACGAGAGGTGAGTGGGGGCTTTTATCTTTGGGTTGCACTAACATTTCCAGATCCGGGCTTCGTTTTATATTAAATACTGTATCTTAATTCAGTGTTGCCTTTCATCTTAAAATATATATTTTGTATTTGCCCCTCTTCTGACATCTTCGGGTCACGAAGTTGTCCTTTATTTGAAGGTATAACATTATCACTTAAAAAATGATCCGGATTCTCTCAGTCATTGATGTGACTGAAAACTTGCGATGTTCAGTCTTAAATTCTGGGTTACCTGAGTACGACAAAATGCACACAGAAGCCAGATAAGTAAACAGACTATTTTGTTCTATGCAAGAACCAGGCATAAAAATAGTGCATTTCTAGACTATAAAAGGGTTGCTTACTGCTTTTTGTGGTTTAGGACGTACATTTTTAAGCCAATTGCTGTTCTTTTAAAAAAATTTGCAGTCTTATGATAAGCCAAAAAACATGGCCATTTTCAAAATGAGTGTATTTGAGTCCTTTGTTTACTGCATTTCCTTCAGGTAGCATGTTTCTGATGAGCATTACTTATCTGATGCACAGAAGAATTATGCTATAATCAAGAGTAATCCACGAAACAGCCTTACTGAAAGTCTCCTTAGTGTCTTGTCTGCGTACCTCTCCAGAAATGTAGTCCAAATGTCATGTTTATCACCCCATCTGGGCTGATAATTATGTTCATTCACTGTAATGTACTGCACACTATTCTGGATGTGCAAGCAACAAGAACAAAGCTTTGCAGGACCTTTAGTGTGGAGCACTGATCAGGCGTCTGTATTTATAACTGCAAGGCTCTGGGTTCTAAACCCAGGTGAGACACTGCTGTTGTACTCATGAGCAAAGTACTTCATTCACATTGGTCTAGTGGGATGCCGAGCTGTATACAGGTGACCAAATATAAGTCCCTTTTATAAAAGCATCAGCCAAGTAAATGAACCTTTCAGGAAACTACTGAAGGTTTGCTTTCACCGAGTCCATTGTAAACACTACAAGAATGCAGCTCTTTCTGCAATGAGGGTAAGCTCTTCCACTAGTAGTTCATATACAGCCACCACCCTTTTTATAAAGTCTTAATTCTGCAGAGTGACTTATAACAATGTTTAAAAAAACAATTCAAGTAAAACATAATGGCAAAGACATTTCATTTAAAAGGTGTGGTTTTGAAATTGCCCTTGGTTGTTAGGCTCGGTGCACCTGCGGGGACAATCATGTGACACTTTTCCTGAAAGGAGCAATAAAGTTATTGGATCCCAAGTTCTTGTTAGTTCGATGTGTTTAAATGCGAGTATGAGAGACATTTAAAAGCAAAGTAGTTTCACAAAAGAACTGAACACTGAAAGCTGACCACTCCATTTGGTTTCAACGCCATTGCCATCTGTGTCAACCCTGCCCAGGTCAGAGCGTAGCCAGTGTTGCGTGCGACTCTGAAAATCATGTCAACATTGTCTAGGCTCATCCTTCCCTACGCCCGGCACCTTAAAGGAGAGGATGATGAATCGGACCCCTTGCCCACACCCCAGACGCCCAGTGGCAGCAGAGAGGCCCAGACAAAAAGGAAAGCACAGGAGCAGATCCAGAAAGAGACGAAAACCTGCAGTGTGCCGAGCCAGGTGAGCGTTGGGTTCGGTTTCTGCTGTGCAATTCCTACACCTTGAAATCGTGCTTCCCTGGTGAGAGAACCTTGGAAAACATAGCTCTCTAACTAAGTTCTTAGTTTGGAAATCATAGTTCTTTAAAGAAGCTCCAGCCTATGTAGTCGAGTGAACCCCACATCACCTGTTTGTGAAGACTGAGAACACAGGTAACCTATTGATCAATTCTGCATATAATTAGTTCAGTTACTGTAACTCCTGCTCTTAAGGGCTGAAGGGTCTGCTAAATTAGTTAACAAAGCGCCTGTTTTAATTGATCACCGTTAAACAGCTCCATTCCTGCCTGAATGGGAGCTCTCCAAGACCCGGTCAGGAGAGATGAGTGATCTAGAAGAAGTAGCAACACTTCTTAATCTTGAAGTCTTAGGGTCTCTGCATGTGTGTCTATCTGAAATGGTCAGCGCTACCAGATGCAAGCTGTCTCAGGATAAATTACAGTGTTTCTTTCTGGAAAATGTTCCCTGCAAATATCCCGACTTCCTATAGCAATATACATAAAATTAAACGATTAAAGTCTTGCTAGACCTGGAGTGAAGTCGGAAAATAATTACCAGGGAGACCCAAGCTAGGAGAATTAAGCCATGTTCGACTCGGGAGTGACTGACTTTAAAAATGGCCCTGAGGTGACGATTCACTGGCGCTGTCTAGAATGCGCGCGGGGGGCCGCTCTGTGTGTGCTTCAGCCGGTCCTGACGTGCTCGCGCCGGTGTCGCCCTTCTCTGTCCCAGCAGGAGAGCCGCGTGAGACTCAAGGGTGCAGAGGGGCCGAAGCAAGCGCGCGCGCGGAGCCGGGCGTCCCCGGCGGGGGGAGCCAGCAGGCCCGGCGGCGGCGGCAGCAGGCAGCACCAGATCAGGACAAAGGATCCGGGCGCGGTGCTCCCCGCCCAGCAGGTGAAGCCGGGATCAGCCCTGGGTGGGCTTCCCGTGGGCCCTAAAGATGGAGCTGCCCGCCCGCTCTCTCCTCTGCAGGAGCTGCGCCTCGGTAGAGTCTCTGGGGCGTTTCCCCTGACCCAGGGGCTGTCCCCCCTTGACATTCTCAAGAGCCGTCTGGGCTACGGTGCTTCGGAGAGCCTGGCCTCATCTTCTCAGGACCCCCGGAGGAAGCAGCTCTCTTCCACACCCCTGCCTCTCGTTCTGCTCCAGCCCGGCGCGGAAGAAACGGGGAGGAGGTCTGGTTCCAAGGGGGACGGCGACCCACTCTCCCCGGAGAAGATCGACCACACTCAGCCTCTCTCCCCCTCTTCTTTGGCTGGACTGCAGAGGCTCTACGCCATGGGGAGCATCAGCTTGCCGAAGGACATGTCTCCCTTAGACTATCTCAAAACCCGACTGGGTTTGGGGACTCCAGAAAACCCCAGTATGACTTCGGGGGACTCGGGGAAAAATTCTGCCCCTCACCCATCCTTCCTGTTCCTCCAGCACAAGGCTGGTTCAGCGGAGAATAAGACTGCGTCCGGCAAGGAAGGACGGCCCCAGTCCCTGGGGAGTGGAGCCGAAGGCGGAATTCAGAAACCGAGCCTCAGTCTTTCTGACGCGCCAGTTCGGGATGGCAGAACCAGGCACCCGATACCCCCCCTGAAGATCATTCCATTGGACATTGACTGCAGCCTGCAGGTACGGCAGCTCATGCGGACCCCACTGGGCTCTTCCCAGTTCCACTGCTTCACCAAGAAGCTCTCGGAGGTGCTGGCCCAGGACTTGAGCAAGACCCGTCAGCACGGGAGCCCCGCTTCAGGCTCGCCGGAGCAAATCGTCCCCCTTAACCTGAGCAAGCGCTGCACCATCAAGAGGCCGGCCGATGACCTGGAGGCCCAGGGTCTGCCGCCCTGCCTCTCTGGGAGCCCCTCGCCGCAGCCGGCCAAGAGACCGCGACCGGAGTGGGAGGCGGAGAACGAGCCGGGTCGCCCCTTGAAGCAGAGCAGCCGGTTCCCGGTCGCCCCGGCGGCCCAGGAGGAGCCGGCCGACCTGAGCTCGCCCGAACGGGCCCGGGCCAAGCTGCAGGAAGCCCGCGCCCAGCAGGACGGCCGCTCCCCGCAGGGAGTGCACTGCAGCGGAAGACCCGCCTCTTTTGACCTCGACTGCTCGGCTCGACCGGCGAAGCCGGGCGCTCAGGCCTCTCCCTGCGCGGGCGCACAGGGAGGACGAGGAGCGCCGGAAAGCCCCGCCGGACTCTGCAGGCTGGCAGCCCCCGTGCGGGCGGAGGCGTCGGAGGTCTCCCCGCCGGGCTCGACGCTGGCGAAGGCCCGGCAGGAGCGTGCCAGCCGCCGCGCGAGGACGGCCGCCGGCAAGGAAGAGCCGGCTGCGGCCGAGGAGAGGAGGGCGGGCCCCGCGGTCTGCCCCCTGTACCGCTTCAGGGGCAGGCAGGGGCCGCTGGGCGAGACGGAGGCGAGCTGCGCCAAGCAGGTGGAGCCCGAGTGTTTCCCCTCGGAGGTGGCCTCGCTGCTCAACGCCCCCCAGCGCGCGCTGCAGAGCCAGTCCGCCTGGCCCGTCTCCCCTCATGGCCGCTGAGTCCCTCCCCCCGCCCCCCTCTGTGCCACACGAGGACCGCCAGGGGTCCCCCACGTGGGAGTCAGCAGAGGTTCTGAAAAAAGGCATCGCTGGGCTTCTCAAGGGATTTGCAGGAGCCGTGGTCCAGAATTCCTCCTGGCAAGTTTCTGGAAGTACAAGTTATATCAGGTACTCGGAACGGAGGGGACTCTCTGGACACGGCTGTACCCTGAAACCTGCACTGCGGGCAGTGACTTGCGCACCATGTGTAAGTGGGACTGGAGCAGTGAAGGCACCCGAGAGCACACCAATCCGTTGTTCTCGCGCTCCTGAGAGCACACTGCAGTCCTGGGGTGGGCACCATTGAAGTAAGCGCTCTCTAGAGTCCGTTTCTCTTATTTATGCAAACTCTTGTTATCACGAGTACTGCTCGTCGTTGCTTCGGAATAGACCCAGTGGACTTCTTCGGGACGAGCAGGAAAAATAGAAGCCGGAGGGGTCAACCAAAGGAGAAACTGGGGCCACTTCCCTGCAAAAAGAATCAAGAATCCAAACAATATTATTCCGTTCCAGTTCCTGATGCAGTAGTTTGAATAATCCCACTGATTTGAACATCCCTGCTTGTGTTTTCAAAATGTGAGAGTGCTTTGAGCGCCTTCTGTGCAGCAGATAAGTCTCCAAGGCTTGTCTTTGTGATGTATTTTAGCAAGTGATGTCTCACTATGGGTAGGATATATTTTATCCCAGTGAAGTCTGTCCTGAGATGTAAGGACCCTCAATATGATGGCCATGAAACATAACCGGCAGCCAGAAGATTTTCTCTCCTGCTGTTCCATTGCAAGTGGACTTTTTGCTCCATGTATCCCTGTTTCGAGACCATACGTGCAAGGTCATTTGGAAAGTTGAAGATCAAACCAAATTGTCTTCATTGCTAATCACAGTTAAAAGGACCGGGAAAGGTTGCCATTTGTTTTAGAAATCTTTTAGATCCTTTTTTAGAGCACTGGTGTATACCTCCTTTTTTAGCACCGGACGCAACCTGGCTTCAGACTTGTCTTGTCTTCCCTTCAGTCTGAGCAGACACGCGCAGAGGACCTGTCAGTTCGTAGCTGATGGTGGCAAAGGCTTTGCACAGGACGACGTTCTGTCTTTCGCTAATTCACAGCGTCTACAGCTTGCCCTTTTACTGGAAGCCAGCAGATCCGAGATGTTGCTGCTGAAGTGGCCAGCTGAGGCTCAGGTCAAGGCGACATGGTGCTGATAAATCCCGTGTCGTAAGCCCTCGTTTTAAATCCGCCCTTGGGCCCAGCGTCCGGTCCCATCTTGCAGCACCCCCGCTTCTTTCCACACGTCGGCGTGTTGCTCCTCTTGCCAGCGGGCAGGGAGGAGGAGCAAAGAGGACGGTTGGACAGTCCTTCCCGATCCTTCCAGACTGTGTGGCACCGTGCCGCATCCCTATCGGCACCTTCCTTTGAAAAAGGACGCGTCCGAGTTGGGCGAACTGGAGACTTTCGCGCTTTCGCCCAGCGGCCCTCACAGCAGACGGCCACGAAGTCGCCCGCCAGCGAGCCAGCGAGCCAGCGAGCCAGTGGCTGCAGGTTTTCATTCGAAAACGCAAGACCCCCGAAGTCATGCGCTGGGCCTCTGTTAACACGTCGCAAGTCCTCGTTTTTTCGAGTGAACCTTCCTTCCGGAAAGGAAAACGTTTTCTCGGGAGACTGGGACTTCATCCCAGAAGTGCTGGAGGGAAGGATGGGGACTCCACTTGACGCTTAAACGCGGAGCAGAAAAGAGAGATCTTTGGGTTGCTGGGGGGGCGTCAGGTGCAGGAGAAGGGCTGATCCCCGGTTCACGTGTCTCTGGAGTAGCTGCCGGTGTCCAGGGGCTGGGGCCGGGGTTCGGATGTACATCGCTGTTCCTGCGCCCCCCGAGTGTGGGAGAAGGGGGGTTTCCGCAGTCGGGACAGGAAGACCTCCCTCGGGACACAGCCCTTCATGTCAGCCGTGTTACAGAAAGGATTGTGTGGATATGTGGTGGCATGTAAAATTCTGGGAGCCTGTTACAAGCTCCTTATCTTCAGTTTTTTTTCCAAGGGGTCCTAGACGCCTTTTTCTTCCAGAGTGGACACGTACAGGGAGCAGAGCGAGACTGTAAACGACCGATGAGCTCTTCCTTGTGCTGAACAACGGATACTGTATTACACACCATGCTGCCTTCATACTTGACTCTAAGCAAACACTAATTTTATGTATTTAATGCATTAAATATTCTAAGATTGTCAAATCAACTAATTTTTTGTATAATCATCTCCTTGACGAGGTATTTTGACATCTGTCAGATTTTATTGATGGCTATTAGGTTGATTATGGTTTTAATCATAGTTTTGGTATTGAGGTAACGTTTATTTTGTTCTTTAAAGAGAAATGCCAGCACACTGTCTTTGTGGTTTATCTTTCAGATTTGTGTTGTAAGTGTGTGATCATGCAGTATTGATGAAATGCAGATAGAGGGCTGGAAATACTGCAACTGATCTTATCCTTTATTGAGTCTAGGAGTGATTGTTAATCCGTTGGCTCGACATTATTTTTAATTTTGAAAAAGTAAATGTATCCAGTGTACGGGCCAGTGATTTTTGCCTGTAAGTGTAGGAGTCATTGATTCTTCATAAAGTAATTCAATGATTGTCATTGAAGATTGAGTTGTTGTTTTTTTTTTCATACTTCTTCTTTGGGAGCAGAAATATCTTCCTGAAGATATGTTTTTATACGATGTTGGTTGTTTGATCCTAGGGAGCAAACCATGGATTTTTGGTAGGTACTGGTCCAGTTTTTTTTTTAAACTGGAATCTCCAAAATGTTTATTTTTCTGCCATTTTGTACTTGTTGCTTATCCTATTGCTACAACCCCTGTGTACTGGGCCAGTGGTGTACAGCTGTGTAGGGAAGCCCATGGCTCAAGGCAGCCTGTGGACACCATGCCTGTGATCTGAACAGGCCTCCAGTCTCCCGATCAGCTCAGCCTCTCAGGAGCCTTCATGTACTGTATGTCGCTTGTCTTTTTTACAGTTTCCTATGTTTTTCATCGCCTCAGGGGAAAACCTGCAAGACTAAACTGTAGAAGTGATGCAAACATTAATTTTTCAGAAACTCGGAAACATTGAATTGCCTCCTATCTTGATGTTTGTCAGTGGTAAAAAGGGTCAGTTATTTGTGTTTTGTTACTTATTAAATAAAGAGGCGGGTGAATGTCGGGGCTAGGTTTCTGCACAAGTGTGTAAGTGGAAATACTGTACACCTGACATTTCTCTCAAACTTATCTTTACCTCCTATTGGATCATCAGTGATCCAAGACTTCAGGCCACTTCCAAGTAAATAAGTCAGTCCATAGACTAGTTCCGCTTTATCTGTGGATGAGAGGATGGTACCCTTATAGCTCATTTCAGTGTATACGGCGAAGTCTGGCCATGTTCAGAGATAATCCACTACTGCGGTATGGTGGCGTTTCACACTGGCGTAGCACTGCAGTTACTCCAGGCTGTAAATTAGAAATCTTAATTATTAAACTGTAATTTCCATTTTGATGTTTATTGTTGTGATTTGCAATTGTTGTTGTTGTACTTTTTGGAAGTGTAATCTTTAAGATGAGATGTCGGACATTTAGCCTGATCTTTGTCGCCATGTTCTTGTTTTCAGATGTCTTCAGTCAACTGTTCTGTCGTTGTTCAGTTTCAATCCATATCTTTCCCTGTGACTACAAGTTTGTAATGTTTTAAGCTTATTTAATTAGATTTTATATGAGCTTGTCCGTGTCAGAGCAAGTGTAACCACGCTTCTTGTCTACACTATATGCACACGAGAATGCTGCAATATGCTAAGAAAAGCTTATGCAATGGTTTACATTCTTTTTACAGCATGATCCCAGTGACTTTTTATAAGATGCTGAAATTGAGCTGTGCTCCTTAACTCGAGCCTTCTGCATTCTGTGGAAGGGGCGAGTTAATGGGATGGTATGTGTTTCAGGAAGATTGATTCCACCACAACTGGGACAAAGATCAGTAAACAAATGGTATGAATTACAGAAGCACGTCAAATGTGAAGTGCTGCAAATCAGTGTCTTACTTTCAGTCATTCCACACTCCAAAGCCATGGTCTTATTATTCATTTTTCACTGTGTAACATGGCTTTTACACAGGCATTTTACTTTTGTTGTTCACTGCAGCTTTTAAAAGATGTTTTTTTCCATTGCCTGAGTGATGCCTGCTATGATCACTCACTTTGGGATTCTGCTGGTCTTGTTAAACCTGTGTATAAGACATGAACTGTTCTGCTCATGGTCACTTTGTTCAGCAGACGCTGGTATTCTCTTGACAGACCTTAAATGACAGATTTCTGTTGTGTTATAGATGCCATTGTAAATACAGTGGCTGACTCAGTGATACTGGTTTTATCTTTATTTTAAAAATGACACTTCAAACCTGTTCAGATGGTCATCGACTTGTATTAACACTGTATATTTATATTAAAGGTTTGTGTTGCACCTTGCACTGTCTTGTGTTAATTGTACTGAAGTTTATTATTGGATTATTATTACCGGATGTCGTAAATAAAACAAAGTCAATGAACTATCTCTTTAACAAAAAAATGTAGGGATTGGTGAGGGTTTTTTTAGGTTATGTGATGTAGTAGCAGAAAAGAGCCACTAGGTGGAGATATTCGTCTGGGGTGCCAAATGACTTAAGTCAGATTCTAGGACTTTTTCTTTAGTTCACAAAACCAAACACCTAGACTGACCTCATCCATCCCTTTTTAAGCATAAATGAGTGTTTACAGCCTTTTTGCAAGATTTTTTTCTTTTTTTTTCCCCTCTTCAAAGTGCCCTCCTACTGCAACTCAGGCTGAATATTCTGAGTGAGCTTGGTGCAGCTTTCAAGAGAATCAAGTGTGCAGCTGAGTTTTTCTCAATAGAACAGTTTTTACATTTACATATATAAATTATAACCTACTTTTGAAACCTAGCGAGCCCAGTGATAAGGATGACCCCATATTCCTTTCCATCTGCCGGAGAACTGTGGAGTTCTGGAGAAACCTGGAGAACTGTGGTCCCCCTGCGGGGCGGCAGGCTTGATGACCTCCAGACTGAAGTCCTTTTTGTGGGATGTGGTTCTGGTGCAGCTGCTACTACTCCTTCTCCAGTCTGGTCACACACAGCTGTACCTGTGTCTGTGAGGAGATCATGCTCCCTGACGCTCAGCTGTTAGATTGAAGATGTTCAGAACTTGCTAGCAAGTCATAAAAACAAGACTGGTTCATTAGCTCCAACGAAAGGTACCGGAGTGCTCAGCTGCCACAGAACTGGAGGTTTGTGTGGTTCTGCTGCTCTGGTCTGGGAAATGTAATGGATCTTTATTACTGCTTGTGTAAAGCCCATTGGTTTGCTTGGAACTGTTCCAGTCCGCCGTCTTCATCCCAAGCCTGGTGTTCACACCTTGGCTTTAGAAGATGCCTGTCTGTAATTAATAATGACAATTCCTTACACTTTTATAGCGCTTTTCTGGACACTCCACTCAAAGCGCTTCACAGCTAGTGAGGATCCCCTCCACCAGCACCAGTGTGCAGCACCCACCTGCCTCACACTGCTGGGCTCCAGTGGGCTCCCAGCGTGAGTTGCAGGGTAATATACAGTAGGTGCTGTCTGTAGTTTCACCCTGTTCAGATGGTCACCCGCACTGTCATGAGGGTCATCAAACTGAGCCAGTTCTCTAAAGCATGGGGCTGAGAAAGGGGCTGTGGTTTTCATTGACCTTGAGTGTATATGATGACTTTTACATCCGTGTTAGACTGCCTTTATTTTCATTTCTCCGTGCTTTCAGGAACCGTGAATCTGTGTTTATAAGGTGTCATGCATGCAAAATACTTTAGGCCATACCTCTTGAGTTGCAGGGATGAAAATATTTTGGTTCGTTATTCTGCCCTATGTTTCCAAGCTGCTCCTGCAGCCATTTAGGGAAAGAGTGCTACAATTTCACTTCCACAACCTTTTATTATATCATGAAATGGGAATTTTCTGTAAGTTTGTTACCTTGAGAGAGCTCTAGCCTACAGGGCTGTCTGTCTCCTCTGTTCATGATGCTGAATTGATCATTCAACATTCCTCAGTGAAGCCTGGATGGATGGATTGGTAGCTTTGGCTCCTTCCTGTGTCATTTATTCTCACTGTAAGCATTTAATTCTCTGCTGGGCTCAGCCTGCTCTGGCAGCAGCCTGCGGACAGTTTAGGAGATGCATCCCACCACTGAATGATGCATGAATGTCAGGCAGCTCTGCAGTCAGTCCAGCCTGATAGGTGAACAGAGTGCAGAAAAATCACACCACTGGTGAGAGCTTCTGTGCAGCAATGTACAGGTCATGTAGTATTCACGCACTGTTACTCTCAGTGGTGATGTAACGTTTTTTATGTAGACAGGTAAACTTGAATATTCCTCACCATACTGAGAGGTAATTCGATATTCTATTGCAGAATAATTGATTCTATAAATTGCATAAAGAATGCAAGATGTGAAGCAGTATATACAGTATGTCCTGTTCTTGCATTGGAATTAAATTTATATTGCACTTTAAGTTAAGATGACCTGTTGGGTAACATGGTCTTTGTGTGTCTGCATTTCTGTAGTAATTTAGCCAGCAGACACACGCATGATGTGCTGACACATTTGTGGTGCCCCTGCAGACAGGAATTGAGCTGCTCAGCTAATTCTGTAGCCTGTCAGGACCTCCAGCATAAACAAGGACACGGGGAGAGAAAACGAGCGCGTTCCTGCTCTCACCAGAGCAGATATGTACAGTATACATGGTTCACTGCAGAGTGCACAGGTAAGAACGAGTCGGGGAGAAACATGCCATTTTCCACCCCTGCTGCGCCATTGCTCAATTTTTTCTTGCATGGGCGTTCTGCCCGGGCATGACATTCAACGATCCCTCATCAGAGCCGCTAGTCCGTATCGGAGGAAGTGAAATCATTCCAACCCTAACTGTCGCACTTACTGTATGTTATCTTAGAAACTGTGGCGTGGGATGTTTCCTGAAGAAGAAATCGGGACCTTCAGCGATCATCTGAATGAAAGCTTTCTCCTGCAGCACAAGGTCTCTCCCTGCTCACTACACTGGGGGACGGGTTTGGAAATTCTGGTCCGGACCCTCACTTCCAGCCCTGCCTGGCTCCTGAGGCCAGACAGGAGCAGGCTACAGGGTGGTCACGCTGCAGTCATGCCCTGCGGTTCCATCGCCAAACACCCAGGCTAATGGGCCTTCAGTGTGGTGAAGCATTTTCACACCTTTTTTTTTGCAGAAAACGAGATTTTGGCTGCAAAAAAAGCACGTCCTTCATAGCTCAGCGGAAGACATCATCCTCAAAGAGAGACTTCCCCCAGTACAGGTCCTCAGTGCGTTTGTGGTTTCAGAGTTTATACACATTTTAATTAGGTTGTTAATTGCCATACTAGGGTGCAATGGTGTTCTGTGACGATTTGGTACTCTCTCAGTATACCAATAAGACATTTGTAATAATCTTACTACAAACGATGAGAACTAATTTGCTATATCTTGGGAATGACCCAAAAAGTTTCACAGGTAAAGTAATGGGAATTTTTGGTATCAGTTTGTAATTTTCCACCTTGAAAGCAGCTTTCAAGGTGCAAATTATGTTTGTGAGTCAAGTGATGGTGTATTTACAGTAGGTTTCTGTTTTCCCCCAAAGCAGTTTGAATTTTTCTAAGTTTCCAATCTTTGATGGGACATTCCATGGGTTATTGTTTAGCCAGCCTGCATGAGCTTTAACTGTGCTAAAAACAAAAACAATTTTTAGTCGGTTGCTTAGTTCATGAATTGGCTTTACTCTTCTGTCATTTGGATCTACAAATCTGACTGCCTCGTCTTCCCAGCACACATTAGCCATCTGCTTTGCAGCTTGGTACTGACTTGCGCTGAGATCCCCAAGTTATAATCAAAGCTAACATTATGAAAACACCGCTGGTTGTAATTTTCCATGAGAGCATACAGTCGCTACCAGAGTAAACAACCCCTCCCGCTTCGCCGGCTGGGTCACTGTTCTGTTGTGGATCCAGCAGACTTCCCTACCATTTCTTGAAGGAGCCCAGGGAATGGACTTCAGCAACTGCATCTGCATGCAACTGGAAGTGCTTTTAAAACTGAGGACAAAGGGTAGTGGAGGGGTGGAACAGGATACCCAGCCATTTTGTCAAAGCCAATAACCCTGGCTCCTTCCAAGACACACCTGGTGGAGATCCTCACGTCAATTAACCTTAAAACGGCCCAGATGGGCTGAATGACCTCCTCTCGCTTGCACTCTTTCTTGTTTTCTGATGAACAGCTGTTCTAATAAGCATGAACCTCATGGATACTGTTATAGTTAGAGGAGCTCTGGATATTAGCATTACTTAAAAATGAATCAGTTCTGATCACTCCCACCATTTTGTTTCCTACACCTTCCACGATTCCCCGGAAGCACGGCTCCGTCGGCTCGCGTCAGGTCTGTGAGCAGGTGCAAATGCACGGCCCCTAGCTGGCAGCTGCGGTCAGTCTCGGGCTGAGAAGGGCAGCCCTTCTAATCACTCTGATGGAGGGCGGCAGCCCAGTGCTGCTGCACCGGGGGACGGAGGAGCTTGAAATCCGATGCTGGTCTGACATGGTGCGAGAGGAGGAGGGGGGGGCTCTGGGTTCCCAGCCCAGATTGCGCTGGGCAGATGTCTCCCCGAGAGTAATCAACATCACAATTGAAATAATTGGTACCTCCACCATCCGCCTGTCTGGGGGCTCAGGGATTGGCTGAGCACTGAGCACTAATTATTGTTAACCCACTTACAGAGAGAAGAGGCTGCAGGATGTGGGGTGCCCCATTAGGCAGTGGGGAGAGCCGGTGGGGGGAGGGGGTTCTTGTCTGTGTGTGTCAGAGTCAGGGAGAACACGTAACTGCCTGTTTACTACCTGATCTCTGTATAGGTTATATATACGTACATGTGTAAAAAAACGCAGCTGCGGAGGCTGTCTGTGTGTCTCATGGAGAGCAGGCTGGGGTATGCAAAAAGACAAATTCCTAATACAAGAAATTGTATATGGCCAATAAAGTGATCTTATCTCTTATCTTACAAAGTTAACAAAAACAGATGTGAAAATAGCAATTTTGTCATTTTTTCTAAAGCTCTTGATGAAGCGTAGGACACACGTTTCGCTCAGAGGTGGCACTCTTGCTCAGTCTGACACATTAAAACGTTTTCAATCATTTTCACCAAGTGAGGCTCTTTCTCTGCATAGTGTGAAGTGAAACAATGTGAAAACAGTGGAACAAATGAAAAATAAAAAAATGTACGCTACACACTCTGGCACATTGAAGTACGGTTGACAGGCGGTGTCCTACAGTGGTCATGACTGGTGGATGGTGATTACTTAACGTTTTAATGGCCTGGTTATTAGGCATGGCCCCATGGCAGAGAGTCTCCACGAGCTAAAGGTCTGAATTTCAGTTTAAATTTCACTAGGACTCATCTAAGTGTGCAGTACTCTTACAGAATCACCATAGACTATAAAACAAGTAACTGTAGCCCTGCTCCTGAAGACCCATAATGTGTTCTGGTGTTTAGTGCCAGTTAAGCTTTGAATATTAGTGGTTACTTGCTTCATTGAACGGTATAATGGAGTATGCTGGTCTCTTTTGAAGGACTGTTCAGGTTTAACTTAGGAGACCTTCCAAACTCTCTCTTCAGGAGTAGGGCTGTGGATGTAGGTTCTGCATGGTTACTGTGTTTCCAGAGGTTTTAACTTAAATAGCCACAGCTTTCATGTTACTTTCAATGAAGACTCGTTGAAAAGAGTGCAAGAGTGCACAACTGATCACTTCATATCAAGAGACAGAAGGGAGATTGGGTTAAGTTAAACATTTATGAGCTCACCGCCTTGGAAGGTAAATAAAGGGTTCAAAGACTCCTACAAAGCAATGATTTAAGGCCATCATAACAAGATCATCCCTACTAAAACACTTGGTTCACGGTAAAATATAAACATCCTCACCGATGATGTAATGTTCTTGGATGATTAGCACTAACAAAACTAGGTTTGTTTTTCTTTGTCAGCGAAGGTTACTTTTGCTGCAACAGCTCCTTGAATTCAGTCAGTTTCAGGGTTTTCTGGTGGAAATTGGAGCTCTTCATCATTGGGTCTCAACTTGAAACATGAAAGGAAACCAAATTCTTCAGGACCTAAGGATCAGAGAGCTGCAGTCCTGCAGGCTGTGTAGCCAATCTTAAATAGTCAATGAGCAAAAACCTGAAAAGTATTTGAACTCCTTTGCTTGAAGAAGGAATTAGGCATTTCAGAGCCCAGCTGGAAAGAAAGCCAATAGACACAGTGGCTCTCCAGCAGCAGAGATGAATATTCTCAGTATTGGAACATCGTGTAAATGTAGAACGTAAGAAGACAGAAGCTGAATGTGATATCCACAAGCATGCCTACATGTTGTAATCGGAGATTATCTTTAACATCGTGTATAAAGGGGACATACACGGTTCACATACTAAACATCAAAACAAACTGCATAACTCAAATTCACAAGGTTATCAGTGTAAGGACAATCATTTTGTATCAGGCCACCTCACTTGTTATTGACGGATGTGATGGACCGTAGGTAAACTCCTTATGCTGATTAAAATATGTGATCCACAGGGTTGATGGGAGCTCTTCACAGGCCAATGGCACGTGTGGGGAATGCTGGAAGCCGTACAAAAACTGCACAAGCATGATTTAGCGTACACCGGGTTGCAGATGATGCTTGGTGAAACTCTCTCTACCAGCATGATTCCTCTCGATGTTCCTGGACAAACCTGTGCACTGGTCTCTGATCCCTAAATGCTAAACATATTCCCAACACACCCACCCCACACACAGACGCGCATCAGGCTTTACATGTGGTGAACAGAGCCTCCCTGGCACAGCTGCCACACCCTCACCTGGCAAGAAGGCCCTCGTGTGTTGTGTGTTGTCGAGCCTTCAGGAAGGTCCCAGTGTAGCTCCATGCAGTCGGGCTGCCTTCAGTCTCTACAGGAGCTGTTCTGCAGACGCTGGACACTCCTGCCCAGAACATCACACCTAGACCTCCCTGTTGACCGGGCTATGAACACCACAGTTAGAGTATCATTCAGCACCCCTGCGCCACACTCGCAAACGTCCTTCAGGGACGTTCAACGCAAGGCCTTGATTCGTCTCTCAAGGGGACTCCAGCGAAGCTGTCCACTTGAGGTGTGGCTCCAACAAACCGAGGACACAAAAGCCTCTTTCTCTGGAGGAGTGGAGTATATCGGTTCCTTTCTGTGTATCCCTTTCTTCATTTTCACCGGGCTGGACAGGAACAAACTCCCCGCCGGTTCCCAGTCAACCTTCTCTCCCGCCAGCAGATTCCATACGTAAGCAGCTATGTCACTGGAGTGTGTCAGGATCCGTCGCAAAAATGGCTGAATAATCAATGACGGTATCCCCATTGTTCAATCACCGGTCTGTCAAAAAACATTGAATCAGCGACCAAAATCTGAATGTATTTTTTAAAGGCCAGCCTTCACCAGTAGAGCGATAGGCTTCTTTTGAACCCGAAGAAGGCTCCACAGCCGAAACGTTGTGTTTCCTTCCTTCTCTTTCCAGCAGGGAATAAACCTTTGCTGGCTTCTCTTGATTGTCAGTATACCCTGTCAAGAATGACATCATCAGCGCAGTCCATATATGGCCGGGCTGGGCCGGCGCTAGGACCCGGCGTTGTAACCTGCGCCTCCCCGCGGTGGTGGTAGCACTAGGACCGAGCAGAACATTAGGTTAGTGCAGAGAAGGACCGTCTCTTTGTTCCAATCTCGAGATCTGTCTCCCCGCAGCCTCACTCTCTCCTCTCCTTTTATTCCATTACAGTATTACACAGGTCTGGATGACTGCGAGGACAGCAAAATGGCTGTGAATCTCAGCAAGAATCGACTGGCCCTGTTAACAGCCTACCAGGATGTTATCAGCGAGACTTCGTCCACCGACTGGTAAGGCAAACGTACATAGGTATCCCCACCCGCTGGTGTGGTGCTGGGGTTTTATTATAAGGCGTAGGCTTGTGCAATATCACTGCCGAACAATGTGGGTACTGATGTCCACGGCCGGGGAATGATGCCTCATCATACTACTGTACGGTTTGCGCTGAAACGCCTCGGATAGATGCAGCAGCAGCCTTTCTGTGGATAAACTCTGGGCAGGCGATAAATGCTTTTGGCACTTGGGGTGCAGCCGTGCAAAATCAGTTACTTTGCATGTTTAATGACCGCAGTTTATGGAAATGTAAGCTGATATCACCTTACGTGATACGGCATGTTGATTTCGTGACAAACACCCCCCCCAACCTTATTGTACCCCCCAAAAGGGAAAAGGTCAGACTTTAACACACCAGGGTTTTTTTAGAAAAAGGAAAAAAAAACACTTGATTAGCTTTGGGATTTGATAATGCTTTGCGTTCAACAGACAATTGATTCGTTAGCCATATTTTAGTATTTTTTATTGCACATAATTTTGCCTTTCTTGTTCTCTTTTTTTGGGGGGGCCAATTTACCCCCTCGTGAGTCCGTCACGCATTACGCATTGTCAGAAATCCGAGTAGCCGCTAATGTTTTGCAAGATGTACTATTGTTTGCTCTGTCACAGGCTGCTCTGCCTCGGATGACCGCTAGTTCAGGCTAATTTGTAGTTCCGAAGCTTTTTCCGTTGGTCTTTTTTTTTTTTGTCGTACTGGGCACGGCTGAGGAGGGGTCCACCTCGCTCCTGTCGCTCGGCTGTGCTCCCTGACAGCACCTCCGCGAGTGGTGGAGTGGGCGAGGCGAGAAGGGACCGGCTTTCGGCGCAACAGTCACCCCCAAGCCCACTGGCTCGGCACACGAGTGTGTGGCGTGCCCTTGCATCCCGTCGGATCCGACGCCAACGGCGTAGTAACTTTCTGCGGCGTTTCAGCTCGGCGGTGGCGATGTTCCTCAGCCCACAGCCCGTGAGCACCTGGGGTGTGATGGGCAGTTGTTCATGCCTCGTTAGAGGACGCAGTGTTTTAGCTGCGTTTCAGCGGATTGATGAGATGTTTCCTTGGCTGAAGACAGGAGTCAATCGCTGATATAATTATTCATCGGAGCGCAGCTGTGCCGGGGAGAGGGGACAGCAGGGTCTATAGATTTTTTTTTTTGGGGGGGAGGGTAGGACTTTCCTTTTGAAAATAACCTAAAGGTTTAAACAGGATGTCCATAGAACCCATTTATATAGAGAACCAGGACTTTTCTATAGGATCTGTAGGTTGCTTTATGAAGGGTGCACAGTGAGTGTGGCGGTATAAAGACATGGAGATGTAATCCCAAAGGCTTGTAACAGGACTGCAGTATTTTGCTAAGGAGGACTGCTGGGAGGAAAGCTTAGGTGTCTACTTGTACTTCTACGAGAACGCAGCAGTTTCACTAGACTGTGGTAACTGTTGCAGGAGTGGCCCTGGTACTGTATTCACCTCTTGCAAGGAGACAAAGACAAAGACTCCTCCCTTTGAATAAGAGCTGAATCAATTTTTAGAATTGATGAGTTGCCTGGACATGAACAAAGTATATGCAGCAATGGGAAAATGAAGAAAACGTGTGACTATCTGAGCTGAACGTACCTACCTGCCTGTGCATAAGTTTATCAAGTCATCTAAAAACGTGAACTGGATCTGGCCGCTTGCATTGGGAGTCTTGTTTTCCCGTTGTAACGTTCATCTGTAGAGGAAACCCGGTTCTTTGCAGGTTGTTGTTTGTTTGTCTTTAATGGGATCAATCTTTTAGACAACTAGATAGGTGGTGGTTTTTGTCAGGTCATCTATAGGTCATTTCTGTACGATAAGAGTTTCTCCTGTGTGTATGTCGGAACACTTTACTCCAGTGCTCACATCCCTGTAGTGGCTGCCTGTTGACCTTTTACATTTGCTTTAAAGAAGCTGATGTCACTTTCCTGAAAGAAGACGTCACTTAAAAGAAGTGATATCTATATCCTTCATGGGTTAGGGTAAGGGGCTTATGTTTGTCCAGGAAATACTCCACACACTCCAAATCATTTGCAAAGGTCTAAGATCAGTGAGTGGATCACTGAGCATTGTCTTCAGCTGGTTGGGTTCTGCAGATTTCTGTGGCTCCAGATAAATTAATTCCATTTCACATTAGGACTGTCTCAAGTGAATATTATTTTAGGTTAAAGCAGTCATGCACAGCTGGACTGGGGCTGTCCTGCAAGCGTTTGTGTCTTGTTTTGAATGCGGCGCTGCTTTGTGATGTGCCTTGGAATGACAGTCGCTCCGTCCTCATGAATCTCGTTTTCACAGAATTGCTTTCATGCTGCTGGAAATGGAAAATTTGACATTTGTCCTCCAATGTGATCCGAAAGAATAAAAAGGAGTGGTGTGAAAATGGGGTACCTAATATGGACTCCAAGGTCTTCTTCAGGAATAAATGAAACGTCCTGTTTGTTCCTACAGTTTGCAGACACAGCTGGGGGGTCGTAGTCCCAGGTGTCACTGTAAAGTGACCAAGAGCATTGTAACCAATATCCAAAATAAAACAGTGTTGCTTATGCTTAATTCTCAATTAGTGTTGGTCAAACCTAACTCTGAAGGGTTTTTCTGTTTATCAGTATTGTAATTCTGTTTTTAAACTGAAACGCATCTGCAGAACTTCCAAGTAAGTAAATCTGGAATTTCCTTACAGCTCTGGGGTCTTGGGTGGGATTCTGGACTGGGATGATTTCTGAGTGGAGATGTTTCCTCCTGGTGCTCCAGGACCCTTCCAGTTAACTGGTTCGGTTAGCTGGGGTCTCTCAGTTGTCTCTGTGTGCTCTGGGCTGGACTGGCCAGGATAGGCCGCATGCTGTGTTAGCCCTCATCAGGAATGGGAGGCTTCTGACGGTGAATGGATTTCAAGAGGCCCTGTTGCCATTTTGTAACTGGGTTCTTAAAGCTTTGAACTGTTGTGAATAACTGGCACACACGGTGCTTTTGGGGGTGGCACTGTGGAGCAGTGGTTGGCACTGCGGTCTCCCATCACCGGGGTCCCGTGTTCGATTCCTGGGGTGCTGTCTGTGTGGACTGCATGTTCTCCCCGTGTTCATGTGGGTTTTCCTCTGGGCGCCCCAGTTTCCTCAAGCCCAACGACATGTGGCTTTCAGTGAACTGGCCCCGGTGTGGGTGTGCGTGTCCGTGTCTGTGTGCCTGCCCTGCGATGGACTGCTGTCCTGTCCAGGGTGTATCCTGCCTTGTGCCCACTGCTTCCTGAGACAGACTCCGGGCCAACGTGACTCCCGACTGGGCAAGCCACTGCTGGAAGTGATGCGATAATGACATAGATCTGGTAACATTTTAGGGGTTAAAAACATGCCGTGAGTGTCTTTTATGTGTCCTTTTGGTAAAACATCTGCACTCCGCCTTCTAAAAAAATGTAAAACATCTCACCAGAGAGAGGTATTTTTTTTTCTTAGTGGGAATTTCAGATGCCTTTTTTCCTCCGATGTCTTTTGCTAAGTAAGGTCCTGTGGGAAAGGGAGGTGTTGGAGTTTGAATCCAGGATTTCCATGTTAATATCAGGGTGGAAGCCGGACTGCCTCAGCCTCCACACCCCTGGCCTGCAGGGAAGTGGAAAGTCGCACCTTGGCCTTTTGTGGGCTCAGCCCATTGTCTGCAATACTCTTGAGGAGCAAGCCGTGAGAGTCTGAAGCCTCTGGTGCTGTACTGTGTATCGCGTTGTAGCAACAGAGCATTTGCAGTCCTGTCGCTAACAGTTCTGCTTCTTACCGAGTTCAGTCTTACCTGTCTGCTTTCAAGATGCCTCCTTTGATTGCAGGATGAGGGAGTGTCCTCAGGGCTGTCTGTGAGATGTCATTCCAGCAGCTGCACCATCTCCAGCCTCTGCCCAAACCCTCAGGCAGTGCATGTGCTGCGCCTACAGCTGCCTTTTCTCTAGCAGCAGACTGGACGACACGCCCCCTCTACTGATTGCAATCTTGAGAGTGCACTGCACTGCGCTGCGCTGCACTGCGCTGGGTTCCTCTGGTTAAATTCTGGAAGTACTTCTAGCGAGGTACTGTACAAAGCTGTGTTTTTCAGAAACCCACTAGTTACCCAGGGAGTGGGTATGACCTAGAGCTGAGTGAATGCTGTATTCTGCATCAGCAAGAAAGACACAACAAATGAAGATCTCAATATAAGGATTTCTTTTGAACTTTCAAACTCCTTTCCCCAGATTTGTCACACATGGGGGGTGGGGGGAAATTATCAACAAGCTGCCGGGTTCTTGATAGAAGCAGAAAATGGCTTTGTAAGTCAGATGTTGCTGTTGCTATGGGCAGGACATTGCAGGGCAGAAGGGTGACCATGTCTCTCTGAAGCTGAGCATCTTGTTAGCGTTGCCAAGGGCAGTTGTCTCTGAATGGGAATTGCATGTCTATTGTTTTTGTCCAAGTGGAGGTACAGTACAATGACAGAACTGCAGACAGCTCAGTTTCTAGGCTGATGCTGAAATGGCACCAGGACATTCACCTTTGTGTCCACTTCCTGATATTTGTTTATTTATCTGATCTTTGAAGATAAGGAGCTCATTGCACACACTTAAAAAGGGGCCCTCATTAATCTCAGGTGAAGTGAGAACAACAAAGGCAAAACACTGAACCATTTCCTTCTCCACACAATGTGATAAGCCCTTGTTTTTGTATCAGGATACATTTTCCAGTCAAGGTTCAGAAAACAAAACCAGACACATAATAGGCCTGTTCCAGCGCATATTTCTTTTTCCATTAATAGCAACAACCAGGCTTCAAAGCATGCATTATATCCAGATAATTGACCTTCTTGGTTCACCCAGCTCGCCAGTGAAAAGCTTAACCTCCTCTTACTGTCGGTTTGTATCAGTCTGGAGCGTCAGCTTCATTCACTCATCTAATCCCTTGGTATTAAATTTGGAAGCAGCCGTTTAAAAAAAAAATAATTTAGTCCTAGCCAGTG